TTTCCTCTTGAAGTGTGGCACCCAGAACTGGACGCAGTACTCCAGCTGCGGCCTGACCAGTGCTGCATAGAGGGGGAGTATCACCTTCTTGGACCTGCTTGAGATGCATCTGTGGATGCATGACAAGGTACGGTTGACCTTCCTGACTGCTTCTCCACAATGCCGGCCCATGTTCATCTCGGAGTCAATGATGACTCCAAGATCCTTTTCCGCCTCTGTACTGGCAAGAAGGGAGTTCCCCAGCCTGTAGGTATGGTGCCGGTTGTTCTTCCCCAGGTGCATCACTTTGCACTTGTCGGTGTTGAATCCCATCCTATTCTCATCCGCCCACCCTTGTAACCTGTCTAGGTCCGATTGCAGTCTATTCCTCCCTTCTAGCATGCCCACATCCCCCCACATCTTAGTGTCATCAGCAAATTTGAACAGGGTGCTTTTTATCCCCTTGTCCAAGTTACTGATGAAGATGTTGAACAGTGCGGGCCTGAGGACTGAGCCCTGCGGAACCCCACTGCCCACATCCCTCCAGGTCAAAATGACCCATCTACTACTGCTCTCTGGGTGCGGCCCTCCAGCCAGTTGACGACCCAGTTGACTGTGTGGGTGTCGATACCACAGTCCCCTAGTTTCTTAATAAGAACAGGGTGAGAGAGTTGTCAGGGTTGGCATTGGAACCAGGGCAGCCCTGGTCCTGATCTGGAAAATGGCCTGCCATGGGAGCAGATTGCAAGGTTCCCTGCAATCCTTGCACCCAACAGCCTTTCCTGTCTTGCCCCACAGCTGCTACAGGAGCTACAGGGCCAGGCACTTTAAAATTCTGGGTTGCTCTGGAGGCTCCCCTGGTCTTTCACACAGCCCAGCACGTTAACTACCTTGCCCTGCAACTGCCAAGGAGCTTTTAATTTGTTGGGTCAGCTTCTCTCCTCTATGCACCACTTTCAGAGCTGCACCTGCAGCCCTGCTGGGCTGTACATGCCAGGGTTAAAGGTCACAGAATACTGGGAGCCCGTGATCAGGAAGCCTCTCCCAAATCTTGAGACCGTCTAAAATCTGTGCATACAAGTAGGCTGCCCATACTGGTTTTTAAAGATCCTGATGTGCCCAGCTGTAAGCACAGGTTTTAGACCTCCCAGTGCACAGGAACCCTGGGATCAGGGAAAGGTTCCCCACACATGCAGGGCATGAGGTGTGATTGTTGGAATCAGGAATCAGATCCCATTGCACCATTAAATGAATATCTTCTAGCGCCTGTGGAATATTTTTTTTTGCTTTGCCCCTGTCCACAATTGAGGAGGTCAAATCTGAGGGCTTGAGACTATCAAAGGTCATGAGGCTTTTACTTCCTTCATCTTCTCCTGTATATCACCCCATATGTCAGACTTTTTTATGTAAAGGTGCTTTTTGCTGGTCTGTCCACATCAGGTTGTGACTGTTTTACTTTTAGTGTAAAACCTTTTGACCACTTGGGTCTGTCCCTCTCAAGAAACAGATCTTGGTGGTGGGGAGGGATTGAGGGATCTCTGTTCAGTTAAATATGGTTTTAGTCTCTCTATTTTTTTCCCTCCTTGTGTATCAGGAGTAGCATGTGACAGACACCAATAAAATTCTGTCTTGCTTTTAAAATAGCCTATTTTTCTGTTTTCTAATATGTAGATGATGGCAAAGTTTTCTGCTATCCACTTGGAGGTTAAGTGGTTATTAGAGGAATGTAGAAAGAAAAGCAAATGAAAAAGTAACTTGCAAGAGGGGCAAAACAAGGGTTTTGTGGATGAGTTATAAATATATTGGGCCCCTGGCCTAATATATTAATTTAAAGGTGCCATAGGATCTGATCTGTGATCCCAGCAATCACACCTCCTGCTATGCCACACATGCATGGTAGAAAATATTCCTTATTGCGATGCTACATCTGACCAGCAGCAAGCTTCCAGTTGGAGTGGGGCTAAACTACTGAATGAATGGTAAACTGTTTAATCTCAGCCAACTCCAAGCCAAAACCTTGACCTCAGTCATCAAGCTGCAGTAGGCTGATGATGCTGTAGTTTGTGCTCACTTGGAAGCAGACCGTCAGGCAATCATTGATGCCTTTACTGAGGCATACAAGAAAATGGGACTGATGCTTAACATTCAGAAGACTAAGGTCCTCCATCAACAAGCTGCGATAATTCAGATTTGCACCAAGACTCTGGAGAATGTTGAGTATTTCCTGAACCTCAGAAGCCATCTCTTGCAGAAGGCTCACATCAACAAAGAAATCCAACATCGCCTAAAATGTGCAAGTGCAGCCTTCAAACACCTGAAGACTTGGGTGTTCAAAGATCATGACATTGAATTTGAAACCCAGCTCATGGTTTATCAAGCAGTCATGATCCCCACCTTACTCTATGAAGCCAAGACATGCACAATGTACAGGAGACACTTCAAGTAGCTGGAGAAGCACCGTCAGTGCTGCCTATGGAAGATGCTTTCAATACAGTGGGAAGACGAATGCACCAATGTTAGCATCATCTCACAAGCAAACACTATGAGGATTGAGGTAATGATCATCCAACATCAACTTTGCTGAGCCAGCTGTGTCATTTGGATGTCTGACACCAGACTTCTGAAGCAAGTTTTATTCTCCAAGCTCAGTCAAGGCGTACACTCGAGGAAGATAGAGAGAGTGCTTCAAAGATGTCCTCAAGGCCATCTTGGAAAAAATGCAGAATTGACATCAACTTGTGGGTGGCTATTGCCCAGGACCATCCCAAATGGAGGAAGAGTCTATTGCAAGGATCTCGGTACTTTGAAACCTCACAATGACAACAGGAGATGGAAAAGTGGGAACAGCAGCATGTCATGGACCAAATCAGGAATCCATAGCCATCCACCCCACATAGAAACATGTGCCCAAGTTGCAATAGAACCTGTTGTTTCTGGACTGGCCTTGTCAGCCATCTTCGGACCCACCGATTTTTTTTTTTTTTTTTTAAGTCATGGAAGGCAGACATCTTCGACTGGAAGGGATTGCTGCTGATGATGCATGGTAGGAAGTGTGATCTTTGGTTTTTTGGGGGGATCAGGGATCAGATCCCCAGTTGCACCCTTTCTACTTACCAGTGTGGGGGTGGGGGGGGGCAGGATCATGATCCCAGGTTCCCCCTTCACTGGCAAGTTGTAAGCTGGATGTCTACAGCTTGGCATGACCCAGTGTAGTCTGAGGGCCAGAGTCCTTAACTGTAGCAAAAATGTAAATGGACCCTAAGTGGATCTCTTACTAGTTTGCCTGTTTCATAGTCTGCATCTATTTGAAGACTGCAGAAGAGGAAAGAAATATTTAGATGAAACTCAAGAGTAATGGCTACAATTACTAAAGGGAATATGTCAGATCTTTTTTCATCTTTCTCCCCATGGAATTTGTTGTTTAAAAAAAAAAAAAAAGGATTTTAAAAGTAAATCTGTCGCACTTCAAAATAGCTTCCCATGGTAAGAAATGAAAATACAGTATTTAAAGATGTTTAAATCAGACCTGTGCATGTGACAGCATAGGATATGTAGGAAAACCCTGTATTGGCTACTGATTTGATTTTATTATGGTTTGGTCTATGCATATAAGAATTCATTAGTTTTACATTGCAATGCTGTAACCTTCTAGGGCAGGGGTGGGCAAAAGGCAAATATGGTCGGTGGCTGGACCATTTTCCAGCAGCCCCTGCCCATGTCACTGCAGCCAGTATCCATGGAGACCCCAGAAACAGCAGGACCGTGACAGTGCAGGGCCATGGACACCAGCCCCAGCAGCACTGACCAGCAGGACGCACAGCTGGGCAGGGAACTACTCTGCAGCTGGGGCTTGGGATCTTGCAGTGGTGATAGCATGGTCCAGAGCTGGGGAAGAGCCACGATCCATTGCCTGCATGCCCCTGCCTGAGGCATGCGGGCAGTGGATCACAACTGTGCCCCAGCTCCAAACCATGCTATTACCACTGCACGATCCTAGCCCTGGAGCAACTCTCCACCCAGCTGCACACCCTGCCAGCATTGCTGGGGTTGGTCTCCACAGAAACCCTGGCCCTGTGTTGTCATGGAGCCACTGTTTGTGGGGTCTTCTTGGAAATGCAAGCAGGGGCTGTTGGGAAATGAAGTCTGCCGCGGGCCTGATCCAGCCCATGGGCCAGACTTTGCCTGTCCTTGTTCTAGGGAAAACATTGTCTTTTAGGCCAGCATGCATAAAATCTTGGAATGTTTTTAGGCAATATTAAAAATGAGGATTTACATATGGAGTTAAATGTGTATTATAATTTATATGTCAATAAGTGAACTTCTACATGTGCTCTGACATGTTCTGATTAGTTTGCTGGAGCGTTCTAATCAGAATATTCCAGCGTGCTGCAGCATCTTCTGTATTTAGTGTCCCACGTTTCAAAATGGCAGCAGGGGTGTTTTAACTGAAGCTTGTTGAATAGAATGCTTGCCAAACAAGTTTTAGTTAAAGCGCCTCCACTGCCATTTTGAAACACAGGATGCTGAATACACAAGATACTGCAGACATTTTAATTAAAGTGGCTAGGTGTCCTGTATGTCACATTTCTAACATCATGTTTACATACAGAGTGCTTCAGAAACGCCCCAAAATCTCTTGAGTTATTTAAAGCTAAATATTTTATCCAAATAGCTTTTTGCATTTATTTTATTTTATTTTTTTAAACTATGAATAGAGAGAGGAAGTTAGCCTGAAGTAAGGCAGAACAGATTAGATTAATTTGTTCAGAGAGGCATAAGCTTTCATAGGCTATAGCTTATTTTGTCAGACACTATGAATAAAATTTCATTCATAACATCTGATGAAGTGGTCTATAGCCTATGAAAGTTCATGCCTCTGAACAAGCTGGTGTATAAAGTGCCACCCTGCCCTATCTGCTTTTTTCCCCCTTTAACTGTTCCTGTTAAGTTCTGCACATTATTTAGCAGCTGTGTCCTATTCCATATAGTAGTTGGTTATGTGTTATGCATCAGAAAACATGATAAAACATACATTTTCCTATTTGATTAGTACACTTACCAGATTTCTAATTTATACCTTAATATATCTTGTAGTTACAAAAATATCTACCGTGAATTGGAGCAGAACATCAAAGCAGCAGATGCTGTTGAAGACCTTAGGTGGTTCAGAGCTAATCAAGGTCCTGGGATGTCTATGAATTGGCCTCAGTTTGAGGTAAAAACTTAATAGTTTGTTTTAAAAGCTGTTTTTTATTGTATTCTGTTCTTTAATTTGTTGACCTTAGGAAACTGGTTTTGTAAAGTTTTAAAAAGTCTTTGTCTCCCTTTTAGATTTTTTTGCAGTAGTATAAGTGGGGGGTGCAGAGGGGTAATGAAGATCAGGGCACTTCTAGTCCCAGATGTTGCCTTTTTGGGGAGGGGGCACAAAAACAGCTACCACTATAGTGGCAGCTGGACATGCCACTACTATTGGCACTGCAGCAGTTAACACTACCCTGTGCATTGCCACTGTCCAGGACACAGAGTTACCCTGCTATTTCTCTGACCTGATCACTGTATCAACCTTGTAAACAGCTTTCTGCAGGCTTAAAATGAGTCAGTTTTATAGGTGATGTTGTAAACCAGAATTTACCTGGTACATCTGTTCTCACCCCCATTTAAACATCTTGTGTATGTTAACTTTTTAATTAGGACTCCTTTTCAGCCAGCATTCAGGTAAGTACTTTGCTGCTGAAAGAAAAATGCTGTATTTACTC